CGAATCCAACTCTTTTGGTGGGGGGGAGGGAAGGAAAAATAACCAAACTGGGCAGAGATTCAGCGCCATGGGTGGGGTGCTGTTCATTCAGCACAATACAACCAAGCCAGTACCATCAATAAACACGTTTGAAGAGGAAAATGTTTTTCATAGTTTGCATTTCCTTTTAAAAAGCCTCCAAGCAGGTCTGCGCATACAAAAGCGGTAATAAGTTAGTCTCGCACACACAAAGACTAAGGTTTGCCCATGTGGTTGTAAGAAATGTTTTTAATTGCCCAAAGCATCACTTCCGCTGTGCTTAGAAGTGGTGCCTTCCATCATCCTTGAACAAGTGGCAGGGTAGATCAGTCATACAATAGATAGCCATAAAAATATGGCAACAACCACCAAAAACACCCAAACCACTGCTGGTTAATGCAATACACTTAAAAATAGTAAACCACAGAATAACAAACTTTCTTTAACCACCCATTTTCCAGGAACTCGGCTTTTTCCCTACCCCTCCCCACCATTCACGAACCAAATCCTACCAGGCAACCGGCAAGGCGTAACACTGAGGAGTCTGTCTTGGGCTTTAGAACAGCAAGTGACTGAGCGGCGGGAGTGCACAGGGCAGGGCAGAGGAGGCCTCGGGGTAGCGGGGCTTCAAACCCTCTCTGGCTGGGAACAACCCTGCTGGAAGTTGTCATGCAGTACCACAGTTAAGAAGAACAGCTTTTGTCATCCTGCCAGCACCGGCGTGGGGGCAGCTGACAGAGTGATCTGGAGCTCCAGAGGGAGAGACACACCGACACGCAGCTGCAGAAAAAGCTCAAGAGGGACAGACTACAGCTGGCAAGGGGAGGAAAAAGGGCAGGCAGGGATCCTTCATCAGCTTTCACAGAGATTATGCGTTCCAAGTTTCTGAAGGCACATCATAAGCTTAGCAGCATTTGGGAGCCATTGTGTCTTGCATGTCCTACTCAGAGGCTGCAGACAGGAGTGAAGCAGAGGTGAGCTGGAGGTGCTGATAAGAATTTTAAGAAAAAAAATGGTCAAATTTGTGCTCCTTTCCCAAAATTACATACTCTCACAGCTCACAGCATGCCTTTCTTTCCTAGGAAAAAAAATAATAGAAAAATAACCAAGTAGTCTCAACAGCTGTAGGGTCTACCTGTTGCTTACTAAAAAGTAGTAAAGGGTAGGGGAGTGGGGGCAAGTAGGGGAACCAGGGCAAGTGCAAGTCTGTCCCAATCCACAAAGATAAAAATCCAGGATGCCAGGTTCTCCTCCTGTATGAACTGGTTAAGTCAGTTAAAACTAAATACACACATTTTAGAGGGACAGCTGAGGTTTCTAAGCTGGCAGAAGCCAGCACTGTCTGATGCCCAGAACAAGTCTAAAGTTTTCAGGAAACAAAACTAATCCCTTTACAAAAAAGTGCAGGTTAGAGCATAACAAACCATTTCCACATTGGATAGCCAGGTACAATATCTCCCTGGAAAAGGAGCTCTGAGCCAGTAGGGAAGATGTTACAGTGCAGTGTACTGACTAGCATGAAATGTGTAATGAAGCCATTCAATTAAAAAACAAAACCCCACCAAACAAAAACCAAAACAACAACCCAGTGTTCATACTTTTTCTATGAGGATCACTAACCCTTGAGTGCTTTATCCCCCTCCCTATTTTTTACTTGAACAAAGCCACAAACCAAAGTATTTAAGATTAATCAAGTAATGCTCGCTGGGACTCAGGACTTTGAGAAACTATGAACACAATTTGCAGTTGAGAGCATGTGCGGGTGCAGGAAAAGATGTCCTTCGTTCATTTTAAAGTGTATGTACATCTGCATTATTTTCAATGCTACCGTGAGAAAGGCTTTGTCATGGAGGTTAGTGCTTACGTACACAGTGAAGACAAAAGAACCACTGCTAGTTCAAATGTTGACAGCCAATACATATTGCTGCAGGTTTATAGTTAAGTTTGTTTTCACTATTATAGAGTAATAATGCAGCCCGCAGCCTGTGCCTTTGTCCACACGTGTAGTTACAGTAAATGGAGCAGTGCTCAGAAGCAAGCAGTCAGGTACCCCTGATTTGGCCACAGCATTTAGTAGTTATATACCTTGCCATATGAACACAGTCATATTAGGTTTCATTAGAGGAGCGTAATCTATTAATGATGTATCTGGAAGAAGTTTGGCATGCATGGGGCATCAAAAGAAACTTTACTGCAGGTGCTATTTATCCTACAGGGTCACAGTGCATGAACAGAGCAACAGAGTAGAGCATTTCAGTGATTTTACTCAAACAGTTCTGTCTGTCCCTGAGTGCTTTCTGACCACTTTGCTTCCATGGACCTGATCCACCGCCAGCGTTTCCACCTCTGGCTGAGGCTGGGATGGCGCGACATGGTGGATGCGATGCGCCACCCCGATGTGCGCCTTGTGCGGCTTCTCTCGGGCTGGGCTGTGCGATTCACCGGATGCACGATCTGAGGCAATCGGTGGAATAACTAACGGCCTCTCCTTAATAAGATGTACCTCTGCTGTTTCCCTGGCCAAGAGAAAGGGAGTGGGATCAGGCATGGCATCCACAGGCTCTCTTAACAGCAGCTTCCGGCTATCCGATCCTATTCTGTAGGCCTCTTCGAACTCAGGGTTCAGTGGTGTCGACAGACTCTTCTTCATTCTGCGCCGTGGAGTCTCCGGCAGTTTATCTTTGGGAGGGGACGGCTTATAGTTGGACAACACAGGACTGCCAGAAGGGGTCCCCTCCAAAGTCCCACTTGAGCTCATCAGCTTCTTCTTAGTAGCGTGCAGCTGAGAAGTTAAATAAGCGATAGTGCTCGCTCTCTGCTCTAGTTCACTCGACAACATGTTGAGCTTATGGCTTTTCATTTTTAACTCTTCCAAATACTTCTTCTCTCTTTCTTTAATAGTGTTTTCCAGCACCATTATCATCGCATTCTTTTGTTCAAGTTCTTTCAGTAACTCATTATTTTCAGCCTCTTTGACTTTCAGCTGAGCTTCAAGATCTTCACACTTTCTTTTGAGTTCATCACTTCTTGAACTACCATTTCCTAGAAGAATAGGAAAAGCAGAAGTGTTTCAAGTTAACAATAGCCACTAAGTAAAATAGTGCAACAGGGTTCCTTTTGGCTTCCCAAAACCATAGGAGAAATCCCAAAGACTGACTTCAGCTAATACTCTTAAAATGACTTCATCTGCAGAAGCACCACAGCAGCTTTTAAGCTAATGATGATGAGCTAGTGCCACTCACCACAGTTTAATGGTGTTTAATAGTGTTGATACGAAGTAGAGATGCTTCACATGTTCTGGGAACAAGGATTACAGAATCCATACTTGCTGAACTTGCTCAAAACATTGAAATGGCTCCACATTTTGCAAATTCTCTTGGTTATTAAGAGGAACTTCGCCCACTGCAAATGCCAGACTGGCTGGAGAGAGTAACGGAGCAGGTGTCACAGCTTACCAGGAAGACACACTCAGGCTTTAGCTTTACCCCTCTGTGGGCAGCTGAAGCCTGTGACTCTGAAGCAGGGGTGCACCTTGCTGCCACAGAAGTCTCTGTGGGGTGTCCAAGCCTGGCTGCCTTCTCTTCACAAGAGTGTGACATCACCGCATAGCACTAGGGGTTCTTCCACCATCAGGAAAAGGTAAGCTGACCCGTCTCAGCACCCCCGCCCTCATGCCATACGGCCCCGCAGGGCGATTTTGTCACTCTTCCCTTGGTTATTACAGCAGGACAGCTTCCCAGCTGTTCAGCAGAGACCAGCAGCCTGAATTTCTCCAATAACCCTTTGTCACAGGCTATCGACAGTAAAGTGTTAGGTATAGTCCCCTCCACACTGGGCAGCATCTGCGTTTGGCACAGCATCAACACAGCAGCATCACTGATATATCACCTACTCTGAAAATCCTGTGATGAGAAGCATCTGAGCACCACTGCAGTATCAAGAAATAAAGCTGCTCAGCTGCTTTGCTAAATTTGCCTGTGTTCTCTCTCATCTGCCATACATGTCCTATCTCACACTACCCCTGAGCCAGGAGGTTACTTCCAGGGAGTGTTTTATTCCTGTGTTTCACCTGTTGGTAACATAATACATCTGAAATAACTAGAATCTAGCATATATAAATATATAAAAATAAATAAAAGCTTTGTGGTGTAATTACAGTACCAGCTAAGTTTTAATAATAGTCTTGCTCTTCTTCTGCCCCTAAAATTCACGTTCCCTGTCCCCATACAGCATGCAGGGAACTGATTGTCTAGTAAGAGAGAGGAGTCAGCAGTTCTACACTCTATTCCTGGCTCTTTCAAACATTTCCTAGGTGACCTTGTGATATTTACTTCATAAATAACAGTAAGTCTGGGAAGTAGAAAACTACTCTTATACCTTTAGAATTTATAAAGTCAACATCCCAAGTGCAAACTATTCTCACCTGCTTGTAATGGAGAAAATACAAACATTGGAAAAGATGAGGAAGTTTAACATGAACATTAAAAGAAAAATGTGATGTTTTCCTTACCTGACAGATCTGAACTCTTTACAGTCAGCTCATAGGTTAAATCTGAGGAAAAAAGTTGTTTATTTTTGTTAGAACAGCATCATCTACCCCATACACCACTGGTGGGCATGTTTACAGTTGCATACTTCAATAAAAATATAACTAACTCTTCCCCGCGCCTGAAGCAATAATAGGGGATCCCCTGCAAATTATCAAATCTGTAAAACAACTGCATCTATCAGGTGACACGTTGCCTTTTTTTTTTTTAAAATAAGTAAATCTTTGCTTAATGCCCGAGACACATGCTGACCACCCTAAATATACCCTCAGCTTTCTTGCTGAGGTTTCACAGCTGAAGTAGGAAGCTGTTATGCCATTCTCATGAAAAGAATTAAGCACCAAATCAGCATCGGCATCCTCTCCCCGCTACCTGTGCAGTGCTGCTGCAGGCGTCGAATCTCAGCGTGCAGGCCTTTCAGGGTGTTGGCATGTTCTCGTTGGAGAAACAACAGGTTCTTCTGGGCACTCTGTAGCTGGTTCTCCAGATTTGAGGCTGCCATCCTGACATACAGTTACCCTGTCAGTAAACAGACATAGAATTATAACAGCAAGTTACCTGGCACATACAAAGATAATCACTCTGCAGCCAGGATCAGCAGGCATATCT